GTATACACTGGGCCTACGGTTTATAGTCCTTATCCGAGAAGACTTGTTCTACCACCAGAACCATAGGCGAGCGTGCCGTTCGAACCAGCGCCGATATTATGGCTATAGCTTGCGGTGCCCCTGCTAACCGCTCGACCATTCGACTCACAATAAAAGTAAACATATTGATGAAAATTGTTTTTTTTTCGTCATTTTGTGTAATACTTTCATGTTGCACAGCGCGTTGTAAGGCGTCAAAATCTCCCTATTTTTTGGTTTTCAAACTTGGGATCTCTGGTATATATACCGTAAAACCTAAATTTGAAGCTCAGTGGGCTTAATCTCGAAATGAAGCCCATCTCAAATTGAAGCCCTCCCTCTTTAGTTTGCAAAATTAGTCTTGAAAAGAAGCCCATGGGCTTCTTTTCAAAGATAGTACAGTACAAACACTGTACATGAATTTCAGAAAACTAAATAAATTAAAAACAAGCTTGGGCCAACAGGTACAAGGAGCCCCAACATTGTAGTTAAAAAAAAAAAATGACACAGTGGATTTTTAACAAAGATCTTGGTTCAAACTTAAAATGTTTAGATGTTAATATTTTTTTCCTGATGTCTTTTTCATAATTACGGTATTATATAATTTTACATTTATTTTTTTATGGTATCTCATGTATTCTTTAGTTGATAAATTCTGATAATTGTCAGTAAAAAATTAAATATTTCACTTACTAGTTTTTCGATCAGATCAAGATCAGATCAAACTAGCTGCATCAATAGGATCAAGAACTCACTGCCAGCTGCCACCCGCGCTGCTCATGTCAGTGGGTGAGATATGTTCGATCGTGGACAGCAGAAATACGCATTTTCATGAAAAAATGTGGATTTTCAGTTGTAAAGATACAACCCTTAAGTAGCAAACAATGCATCTCTGGGTTTCTGGATAAAAACATTTCGGGGAATGCCCTGGATAACAGTCAACTCCAGGGCCCCATAAACTCTGTAACGCCACTGTATGGAACCGCTATTTTATTCTACCATGTCTCATTAATTTCAGAATTCATCAACGTTTGGTACTTTCCGGGGGCTGATATTGCGTAATCAACTTATTGTAATACTTAAACATAAGGTAAGAAGTGTAGTCATAAGACACTTTTCCTTCTACTGGAGGCCTAGTTACAGCCAAGGACTCAGTGCTAACCATCACCCATCCTATTTTTGTAACAATAGTACACCTGCTAAATCCCATGCATAATGCTTGACTCTCACGCATGAGCATCCACTTTTTACGTCTCATGCCTTCCTTGTATTATCTTGCGCATCATGGACATTTTTATAAAAGATAAAATGTATAGGCCGATTATACTCTAAAATTAATAAAAATTAAGTAACTGCGTCATTGGAAGGTGAATATAGGTTATATAAATTTCTTTTAACAAATCGATATCAACCGCGGGTGTAATCCGTTGCATGATTATTACATAGAGGGCGCTATATACAATTTTTCCTTTTTATTTTTGCACCAGGAAAGTTGGTGGGTATACCATAGGGCTAAATTTTATGGTTAAGGTATCAAACTTAATGTTACAAGCTTGTAAAGTTGCTTTTTAAAACAGCATTCATGAACATTTATATTTAGTGTATTTCCATCTATCTTCACACCAATTTGAATGATTGAGGAAGAGAAAAAAACAATTTTTTTCTTTTGCAGGCTTATAGTACATGGCCTCTCAATGAACCAAATATCCGCAAACTCCGTATTCAGGATTTCCGAGATGCTTACCCACGATTCCCGGGCATTGATAGCTTGAACATACCACCGGCGGATCGAGAGTTTAGTGTAGACCTTCGACCGTTCATGAATCAAGCACCATATTCTGTATCAGAGGTTAGAAAATGATGAATTGTAGATGTCAATCAATCAATCAATCGTTCAAATGTAGTTAGTAATGTCAATAGCTCAAGTTGTCTACTAAAGTCTGAAAATGAAAAAAAAAAATTTAACATCTACTAGGCTTGCTCCAAGTCTCTTTTTTTTTCAATTGTACAGTACCACCGCGAGCAAAGCAGTAGAGCTTGGATTTAAAAAAATTAGTTGATCAAATCTATTGACTATACCATCAAGGGAATGATGTAATGTAATATTTATTAGCTATTGCAGCAAACGGAACAACCGATTAAAAGTTTTAATTTCCAACAACTTCATGAGCAGCAAGATAACTTATGCTGGCTATTGATAGCTTGCTCGTCTAGGCCTGTAACCCCTGAGTAAGGAGGTACTATATCAGTACACAAGATGGAAGTTTTAGGCCTAATACCCTAGGCTGAATATGGCTTACAAGCCTAGTTAGCTAGTAGTACTACTACTCTTCATTATAGTTATTGTCCCTAGGCCAAATCAGGAGGATGCTATACGTAGTAGTAAATCGATAAATGTTTTTTTTTTCACAATTTTTATAATGATTTGTATCTTTTCCCAGGACTCGTCCCTTCCTAGGATCTTCCGTCTTTTCCGTGCCCTAGGATTGCGTCATCTTGTGGTCGTCAATGATTCAAATGAGGTGAATTTTAATGGATTTGTACAATTGTTATTGTTATATTATTAATATTGTTATTATTGTTGTTGTTATTGTTGTTTATTATTATGTAAAACCTACACATTCACTTCAGCATTTTCACTGTGCAATCCTTGCACTGCGTTGATATGCCCGATATAATCGGGGAAGCTTCCTGATTCTACTGACCAATCAGCATTGCCAAAGGAGTCGGTGATAGCGTGTAGCGATTTTATGGAAACCAGGCTTTATATTATTCTATTAATTTATCAAAATGTGATTATTGATTGTGGGGTTGGATGCCATTTTGTAACTCTATTTGTGAAGAATATTGCAAAATTGGCAGTCGAACCAGGGAAACAAACCTGTTTCTTCTCTCCCCTCCCTTCCTGCCTCCACTCATTTCTTTCTTTCAACTTGATCTGCAAACTGATGATGCCAGTTTTATTGGCTTGATTATTTATAGTGTCGCCTTGGAGGTGGTGGGGGGAGCGTCCACACCCCCTGCAACCCCAGCCATCACCCATGTTATGTTGAAAATTGTTCATGTTATTCACATCTACAGGTCGTTGGTATGGTAACCCGGAAAGATCTAGCTCGCTTCCGAGTGACAGAACATGGCGGCCGTGTTGGATTGGAAGAACTTTTCATCTCAACTTAGTAAGACAAAAGCAGAATTTGAAGAAAATGATAAGTGCAATTCATTTGTTGTTGGGTAGAAAGGGTGGGTAGGGGTGGTGTTATGAATGTGATTTGGGAGGGGATATGGATATCATGAATCATTTTAATGAGTGTAATTTTAAATCCATTGTAAAAACTACCCTTTTAATTTAAAATATTGTTTTGATAACATTTTTATTAAGGTATTATTTTTATTTGAGGTATATGTTAAATTTACTATTTAAAAATATTATTATTATTACTAATAATAGCACTAAATCTGACTTAAGGGGAATATCTTTTGTGTTATTTTCCCCTTAATGTAGATTTTTTAATTGTTCTCTAATTTCTCCATTGTCTAAGTTAACCTAAGGTAGGTTTTAACATAATTGTTAAAATTATTATTATTATTGTTATTATTATTAATGTTATTATTATTAATGTTATTATATTTTTAAATATTTTAATGCTTTTTCTGCATACATTTCTTTAATTTTTCTGTCATCAAAAGTTTAAAAAATATTGACTCAAAATTGTGATATATGTATTTTAATATATTTTTTATATTGCCACAGTAGATATTACTAGATATTACAATTTTTTTTTAAATTCCACCCAACATTGCTAAGTAGTACTTAAACATAATAGTCTTAAGCTTGTAATTTATCTGAATCAGGCTTAATAGTTATTTCCTTATCTATAGACATATCTAATCAAACAAACCTTGTTTCTGATCAGAGACCAATAGTTCATCAGATATCTTTCCATGTCTGTTTTAAGACATGGCTCCACTTCATCAGAAAAAGTCAAATATGCACAAATCCTGCATATTTCTTTTTATTTTTGGTAGGTAAAGAATCATACACAGTATATAAATACAGGAAATTGCTGTACAACATTGCTGTACAAACGTATCATTTAGGCAACTATTTTACAATGATCTTTTAACAAAGATATAGTTTAAGATGACAACAGTTTAAGATTTCTTTTGATAAATTGTACAGTATTTTGTAAACGCAACAATTTGCAATAGTTTTATATATCTGTATTTATCTAATTTGAATTGATAACATTGTTAACGACTGTCCACACTATCACAATATGACAAATAAATGTGATATGACTTTATTTGGGTGTAATATTTGTCACATAAAATTTGAGAGTGTGGAATAAGCTATAGATATTCATTGTTGAATTCAGAATTTTATGTATTTTATTAATATTGAAATGGCAATTAAAAATATTTTTTATGAAAATTCAATAAGAGAAACTTTATTAATTATGTTTTGTATCAAGTACATTATTTAATTTTCATTTTATTACTAACATTATGATTATAGTTATTCTTTTAGTTATTATTTGTTATTACTGATACCTTAATATTTTAACCTCACTAAAATATTGATAAGTGTTTTTGAAAACCTAAATATAAAGCGAGACTTCTTTTTATACCTCCTATAGCAAACATGCCAACTACCAGTAATGGTTATTCTGAATAAAAATAAAATGTTATTTTTTGCCAGTTTGCGCACCTGCTGCTAGAACAAAATGGAATGGTAATAATAATTTTATATTTATTTTTATTATGAACTCTGCTCACCTGAAATATTCCAAAATAAGATACATAAATTTCTTTCTTATTTTATATATATTTTTATATAAATTTAAAGCATTTAACCATCCCATTACTACACTGCTTACATTCACCAATAAAATTGTATTTTTATTTTTCCTCCACCTAGATGGCTTTGGCAGAATCATTTTGCTGAATGAGAAAACAAAATTTTATTTTGATTTTTTTCCGCTCTCCTCTGACAATTTTTAAAATATAAGTTTGCGAAAGACGGTATCAAATAAGTCTCGCCTAAACCTAGACACTTTTGACTGAGCACTACAATTATTGCAGATTCTTGACTATAGCTTTACATAATAATAATATAGGAATTTAAGTGCATTTTACCTTACGATGTAAGGTGCTGATCTAGAATAAAACCTACACCCACCTCTTAAATATGAATATAGAGTGAAGGAATAAAAGTACAGCAGATTGAGCTCCTTGTAATTTGGTGCCAAATTTAAAAATATTTTTGAAAGTATACAATCAAATGCAATACTATACAGTATGTTTACAATTATTATGAATACATGTTAATTAATAGAGAAAACCCAAAATAGATTTATCTAAAAGTATCTATTGTGAATGTTGAATGTCTTAAAAGTTCCTCCATGGCATTGGGAAGTGTGCATTCTATATATATTATCAGTGGCATATCTGGGCGTCTTTAAATTTGGGGGGGGGGGGGGGGGGGGGCTGATGGGAGGGGGGGGGGGAAATAGAGCTCACTTTATTAGGTGAGGGGGCACTAGCTTGTAAAATTTAAGGTAATGTACTTTAAGGTGATTTTTAACTACTTGAGTTATTTTTTTAATTCCGACCCCTCCGGCACCCTTCTCTAGATACGCCACTGTCAAGTTACTATATCCTAAAACTCGTTATTAACGTTATGTATAAGGACTATTATAGTGTACGTTTAGTTTATATATTACTGGAATCGTTATTCATGATAACGTTATATAATAATCTCTGAATCCGGTAGTGAATGGTTGTTAGGATATTGTTTACGGTAACCGGAAGAGAACGTTAATTAATAATTTTACTCTTTTTTCAAAAATCGTAAGTATATATTAGAACGTACTGTAGCGATTTGAGTTAATTCTTACTTCAGAGCAGTATTGGACGTGTTGTTCTGGTTTTCTATTGATCAAAACTATAGTTTTCAAGGGGGCGTCAATTGTTGTTTTGGCTATTTATGAGTCGAGTTGCAGAGAGGTAAGGTAGGGGTGCTGGTTCGAGCCACTTTGTATTTTATCATCTGCATCAATATTAATGTCATGAAAGTAATTTTAAGAATGTATTTTTAAAGTTAATAAAATGTCGACCACTTTACAAAAAGTTGCATTCAGGTTGTCTTTGACAGTGCAAGTACACTTTGAGCATGCATGTTTTTACAACTTTTGAATAATAGCGATATTCATCTCTGATAACGAGTGGAAATCTTACACAAGGCAAAATCACCTGAGCTCTACAAAAACTCATTAAAAGAAACTTTGCAAGTGGAGTTGTTTTTGGTGTTGATGTGACAGGGTCGAACGATTGTATTTGGAAGTTTTTGAAAAGGATACTGGTATTGTTTCATCCAGGCAAGTATCTGACTTATAGACCAGCATCAGTGGCAGATTTAAGGGGTTCATGGGTTAGGGGTGGCAAAGTTTGAGAGTGACATTTCCTAGAGGTGCCACGATCACAAATTTTCTTAGCCGAGTCCCAAACATGGTGGGGCTGAGATGTCTGTTTTGTTGAGATCTCTATTTTGAATTCCTGGATCCGCCACTGAATATCATCACTGAATTTGATGACCACCGCAGCTCTGCAAGTTTATTTGTGTGATCATACTCGCTCACATTTTTGACACAGTTTTTTCCATGGTCTAAACCCTACAGTCGATGTTTGCTCTGACTAACCCATTCAATGCCACAACATCCTACAAGGTACCAATTTATACTCCATGGTAAAAAGAGGCAAATGTAGGTATAAACTGCATTGCCTATGGGACCAATGACAGCAAGAGCCGCTGCCAATATCACCAGAAGCAGCGTGTGGTGTAGCGTCCAAGGCGTTGCGCTTTAAATCGGGGTTCAAAACCGATGCTCATCGTCACACTGCTTGTGTCCTTGGGCATTACACTTTATCTGCATTTTCCTCTCTTCACCCAGGAGTATAAATGGGTACCTGGTAGCAGACAAATCATTACAAGCACAACTAAAATTAAAAACATGCTTGAGAGGCTGACAGCAGCACCAACTACTAACGCAATAACTTTTCACAATGACCATATTTTATTCAAAATCAGAAACTACTCTCCAAACAATTTCTACAAAAAAAAAAACAAAAAAAAAAACATCAAATCCAGGACTTCTTTTAGGAAGATCTTCAAATAAGAAAACTTTATAAATAAACTCAAGTATATTCAAGCATAAACATTGTTGATTAAACCTTTAAATTTGTAAACCTCAAAAGACTTCAAATTGTTTAAGAACTTGAAGAACATGAAACAGATTCATATTGTAGTTATGTAATTATATACATGTATCATAAAATGTGTTAATTTTTGTTATGTCATTATATAATTTCATATTATTTTTCAATTATCAATAATTATAAAAATCATTTTTATTATAAATATCGTGTATATAAATATATCGTACATCAAATCCTCCTTTTCAAGTTTTTATCAATAAGTAATCAACACACTATTTTATATAATTAGATTATAGTTTAGCACAAGTTTGTGATTTTACACCATAAAAGAATAATTAATGTTATTACCACACCTTCACTGTGAATGAAAACATAAAATATAATTTAAAATTATGGTTAGCATAACATTAAAAAAACAGTAGAAACATTTTTATGAAATTCAATCAAGTTGTAGGGCTATATTAAACACATTTGTTGTTGTTATACAACAAGAATACAACTTTAAAAAATATAAAATCTAAAACAACTCATAATTAAGTTAACACATGCATTTTATAGCTAAATAAAAACCATACAAGAACTTTAATTACATTATTGGGAATTTCTCTTTACTGATCTTTCCTATGAAAGCGAACAACTTGATCTTATGGTTATTATGATTTGGGTTTGAGAATTTTTAATTACTCCATCACGTTCGCTTCACAATTCTGACCGTCTCAAACTTGTTGGCAAACATTGCAAAACCGAAACTTCAGCAAGATTCTACTTCAATCAAATTGTTCCCATGCGGAACCAACTCACTCATCCTATACATTCAAACTCCACAATGTCTGGTGTTAAGCGAGTCTTGCGCAAATTCTATGGGCTTCTGTTTGCCAACGAGTTTGACCTGGCCAGAACATGCACCTGGGTCACAAAATGTTTTTGTCCTTTATGTAAAAGTTATTCCATATTATCCTAAAGTCACTTATTTAGTCACTTTATTCACTTGTTCGCTTATATTTATGTATTTGCCAGAGGGTCGTATTAGGAGAATGTGTCGGTTTATAGGGCTTGCCCCCTTTTGACAAGTTCTCCCACTGGAATTTTTTTTTATGTGTCAACATGATTTTAGTGGAAAGTCAATTAAATTAAAAAATTAAATAAAAATAATGATTTATTGAGGAACAATTTTTTTTTATGATATAATTAAAACGTTTGCCATAAATTTACTGGGTCTCGCAGGCATAGAAATCCTTGAGGGGAGCAAGTAGATACTTAATGACCGGAACACTCCATGCGCGGCCTAGCAGTCGCTGACGAGCTATTCGACCCATGTTGTTCACATCTGTGTAATGCTCGGGAAATCCAAACAGTCTATTAAAAAAATAAGATAAAATAAAACCTATAATATATTGAGAGTCGAGTTAGATTGGATTGGATTTATTCGATGTAAACACCAAGGATAGCCCACAAAATCTAGAAGAAGACTCATTTCCAGTGGGGTCCTTCTGGTGGTGATTGGGCAATACACTGGGAGACAATCCCCTACTTTTTTCTGAAGAGTGTACTGCGTTCTTTAACATACACATGGGCCATAAATGCACACAGGACCAACAGCTTAAACGTCTCATTTGAAAGAAGGTGCGCTATTGTAACTTGTATTTCAGCCCTCCAGCTGAAACACAAGGAGAGGTAGCGATGGGAATAGAGTTAAGAAAACATATTTTTTTTTATAAACTATCAAATTTGACGCGACAATAAATGTAATGCGCCCATATTTGGATGTAATGTGATATCATCACACCCATATATGGGCACATTACAACATAAACTTGTTTGACATTTAAATTAGCACGGTTTGGCAAATGTATGACCATTCACTGGTACCTTTCCATTTCGGTACACCACAGTCCGTCTTCTTTTCCATTCATGAGCACTGGTAGAACCTTCTCCTTGCATTGTTTGATTGAGTTGGATTTTGTTGTAATTGTGCGTATCTTCTTAAACTTGAAATACACAAAATTAATATTTTATTTAACACTTTAAAATGAATAACAGTTACACTTGCACAGTATTTTACACACCAAATTGTTGTCTTTTCCAATTATTAAAATCTGCAAGTCGAATTTTATCTAAGCCAAACAGTTTTTCAATGGCATTTTGGATTCGACTGTATTTAGAAACCAGTGACTTTTTTTGGTTTTAGGGGATTTAGGTTGCAGACACCAAACTATTCTGAGCATGAGACCAAACCCCAAAGTGGCAAGTCAGAGACTAACAGAAAAATCATGTTCCTTTAATACCAAAATATGAAGAGCCTCAGACTTTTATGGCATCAATGGGGCAGAGCACCAGCACCCCTGGGTCTGGATTTATCAAACTAGAAATCAGCTTAAATTCGTTGTAAGTCCATTTTTGCTTAAGTCAGATTTATCACTATTGCTTTAGATTAAAAGTTGCTTAAAATTAAGAAGTGGATTGTACGCATGCGCCATGCAAGACAGTTTTTAAGCTAAGTGTCTCTTCCTGGGCATTCATGGATACCTACCTGAGCTGTTCTGTTGCAGTTGGGTTCCAGGCATTCTTGTAGGCTTAGGTTATGATTATCAGTTGCCATATTTGGTCTGATCAGTAGAATAAAAGTAAATTATTGATAAGATATATAATTTCCCATTCAAATAAAACAATCAGTTTTCAATCTCTGCTTAACATATGTATTTTAGTATTTTTGTATCTTTGCTTTAATACTAAGAGTTACGTTGTGCTCTCCCCTATAGCAGACTCAAGCCTCTGAAGTTAACCTTCTTCTCAAATTCTTGTAGCTTGTCGATGGTGTATAGCACGTTTGATCTTAGTACATTTTTTTATGTTCCCATTGATAAATGTAAATAAAAGGGACAAACATTGCGCATGTTGTCATTTAAAGATTTGTATGTTTAAAGTGCAGCTATTGCCCAGTGAAATATGAAATGACATTTAATGTTCTTGTACATACTGGCTTGCTTGATGCCGGAATATTTAAATGTTTCAATAAAATTAGTAATTGTACCTAAAGTTCTTTATCTGTGATAACATGTGAGATGTAAAAATTTAAAAAAAACAAACCTGTCCATTCCAGGAATATTTCCCCAGAAGTATCTAGCTCGGTGGGCGGGGGTCAGATCCTTAGCATCAACAATAACTGGGTTGCACTATGAAAAACAATAGATATAATGAAAGTTAATCAAGGTAGCATTTAGATGGTGTATATTGATTCATGTAATTTTCAAATTCTTTAAAATAATAAATTAATTCATAGTTAGGAACTGCACATGCTTTTATATCCAAGGTCAATCAAAATATACCTATGTTGTGTGTGTGGAGTTTATGTCCATACGCACATATGCAACTATGAATCGGCTTATTGTGAGAAGGGTGGCTTACCTCGAGAAATCTTGATATATCCATCTTATCTGAATGTCCCATAAAGCATACGTTCTCCAAGAACCAGAAGAAAGGTCGATTGTCGCCCTCTATGGGCTTAGCGAAATTCAAAATCCGATGGAATTCAAAGAAAAGGCGCCCAGTACCTTCTAAACAAAACATAAAAAATAACTTACATGATGTCTTAAATTAATTAATAAAAATATAAAAAGCACAAATAAAAAATATATTCATAGAATTATCATATAATACTAGGGCTGGTATTTATTACATAATTCTACATCTTTTCACATGTTTATTAACGATAATGGATGGTTTGAATATAATTTATTAACATAATTCTTACAAAAGTAGTTTTATAGTTGTACATAATGCATTAAAAAAATATAATGGTTATTGTATTACCAAAGAGGCCTTTCCTGGCAGGATTGACAATGGACAAATCATTACAAGGGCTCCCTCCCATTACAAGATCAAATGGGCCCCATTCTTGAACCTGTATAAAGAAAAACACACAAATGAATGGTAAAATCAATACATTATTGTTTTTAAACATTTCTCGCAGTCAATCTCACAAGATGACATCATAATTACTAATAAGCTTTCAACAATCTTTATCTTTTGAAAACTTAGCCAGTATAAGGGTCATTGTAAAGAATATAGCAATAGAGAGCTTTCGATTGGCTGTGATTTTAAGATCGTTAACATAATGGTGTCATAGTCAACTGTGTATGCAAAAAAACGCACCTGTTTTTTAGTGATGTTTTTTATATCACCGACTTGAACTATGGACTCTGCATGCCGAACTGTAGTCACTTTAATTGCCTCCTCATCCACCTCTGAGGCTACGTAGCAATCAATCTTAAATCCTAGTTCTTTCAGAGCTAGCAATCCTAAAATCATTTGAATGAACATGAAAATCAACACATAACATAATAATATATAATACTGTATGAGCCATACAAGTCTTTTCTAATACAAAAAGTAAGAAAATTTAAGTTTCAAGAAATTTTTAGTATGGTAATTTTTATATTCAAAATAAATTATACTATTTGTGACTGGGTCTGGCAATACCCGCCATTTGTCGCAAACTATTTGAAATCAGAATTTTATAAAAGAAGTTATATTGCAAAATATTAATCACTAAATCTTAATAATAACCTATTGATTTTTGAGTCTTTTGAAGTTGTTTTCTTAAACCTACAGGGCTGTTATCCAATGAATATATATTCATAACTTTGCTAATACTCAAGCAATTTCCATCAAATAAATGCAGTTTTAAAGATAAGTTCATGCAGAATCTAAAAATTATATACAATTCCTGAGACAACTGTATTATATTGTTGCCTCAGATAATTCTAAAGTGAGATTTTTTCAACTAAAATAAATAGTATTTGTGCACACCTGTTCCAATGCCATCAAAGAGTCCAAGCACTTTGATTGGTCGGCGATCTTTCAGTGGTGGTGGCATGTACCTTCTGAATGGTTCAAAACCCTCAACTTGATCATTTTTGAAGATCTGGACGAGTTTTTCTGACCAATCCTCTCTCCGAGAAAAGAGGTGTGTTTTCATTTTTGGACGGCACATGTAACAAATCCATGAATCTTCTTGGATCGCCTTCATGAAGAAAAAAGACACAAAAACAATGATGGGCACAGATGTGGCTGGCAGAGCCTTGATATGCAAATGAAGTGATTGCTGTATGTAAGTATGTGTTTAAGCATTGTGTTTAGGATGTGAGAACGTTTTCCTTTCATTCTAAAGTTAATTATAAGCTATCTTCATAAATCAGCTTAGCTTATTCCTTCCAAAGAATGTACTGCCCTCTTTAACATGGTTTTCAAGGTTCATTCCTCATGATGATGCAATAACATGTCAAAATATTTTATTTCAGCAGGATACCATTTATTTCTGGGCTTGGAGTAATTATTTTTTATCATTTTCATATTTGATATTTCAAAGTGCTTTAAATAAAACTAATATGGTAGTTTTGAGCAATATGTACAATTAGGGTTACTATCATCTACTGTAGAGTCTTAAGTTTTTGCTTAAAGCCAGGCTCCGGAGGGAAAATATTTTTTGGTATGTTTTACTTGTACTACTGATTTTTGACACAAAAATAGTGTTTGACGAAGAACTTGTAAGCGGTTATGAGATACCGATTTTTTAATATTTAAAAACTGCTGGGGTGGAGGGGAGAGAAATACTGTGGTTATGCCCCCCCTTTCCCCAGTTAATCTAACCTGTTGTAAAGCTTTATTGTTATCAAGAAGCTTGACACATTCAAAGCAGGTGGACCTGTAGCATCCAGGGTTACCACAGAGCAAAACCTCACTACCATCACAGCAGACACAGCAGTAGGACTGAAAGAAAACATAGAATGCAACTGAATGCATATTTGCCCATGGGCCCCACACTCCACCCAATGACAGCAAATTAGTTCCACTATGTGAAGCCGAAATGCTAAAAATGACCATTAAGTTTTATTGGAAGAAGTATTTAGTTCCACATTCTGGGATTTAGTTCCGCATTCTCATTATTCCCACCCACCCCTCTCCCCACCCACCAACGCCGAAACCAGCCTACGCCCCTGACCCTCTTGTAATCGACCACCCTTGAATCCAAGGACAGTGGTCACTAATACTAGAATACAACATATCCAATTTTTAAGCCCAAAAGTGGTCATGGTCGCTAACAAGAGGTAGAGGTATGACATGCGGAGATTACATGAGAAACAAAACAGGCTTTTGGCAAGTGGTCGCTTTAAGAGCAGGGGTCGTCTACGAGAGGGGTCTCACACACAGGTTCAACTGTGTAACTAATAAAGCGATCAAAATCTAGCCAAACAAAAATGGGTAGGTGCTATGAATGAATTATTTTTATTTCATTTATTAAAAATCCAAATTTTAAATTTTAATTTTAACAGAATTTTTAATAATTTGTTTATATGAGTGCATCTCTCTTAGCTGTTGTTTAATGCTGTTTAATACTTAACACATGGAAAGAAAAATATAAAATTCAAGAGACCTGGTAGCCATCGTCATCAAACAAGTATGCTGTTTCCAGAAATTCAACCTATGAATAAAACATGTATACAGTACCTGTAAGCACTAACATAATTTTTTTGTCATTGCAGGATCTCAAGAATCACCAATAACAACATGAATACAAAAAAACCAACGGCATCCTTGAAGCAATATATTAACATATTGACTGCTACATTGGATGGTATGATGCTGTCCGGTAGGCAATGCCAGGTCCGGGTTGACTGTGAGTATCCTTTTGCAAAAACAAACTTTTAAAGATATATAATGAACAAGAGATAAATAATCACATAATTTAATTTGTTATAGATATATCAACTGACGCAAAAGCACTTTATCATCTTGGTTAGGTGCTAGTATATGTATTAAAAATGAGTAAAATTGTAGCAGTAGTCCTAAAAATTGCTCACCCTACCCCCACCCCATTGGACATTTGCTGGGCAAAAAAAAAAAAAAAAAACCTGTAAAAATTCATTCCCACAGGTAGAGCCTGATTCTCATGATTTTCTCATGATTCTCATGATTTTGACATGACATCCTTATTCTGATTTCTTTGATGTACAGTGCATTGAGAGCTTGCTTACTTGCGCTTATAAGAATAAACTATTATTATTATTATTATTATTATTATTATTATTATTCTCACTTTTCCATAGCACTGTTCGATCAGCCCTAGGTATGTCAAAACTCAATATGTCATCAAGTAACTAACTCATTAAATCTGGTTTATAAAATTTGATCTGTAGGCTTTCTTTGCAAAACAAATAATTTAGATGATCAAAATAATATATTTAAAACTTTTACTTACTCTACAGTCCTCGCACAGACCTCCAATGAAGAAAGGATGGCAGCACACAACTTGAAGTGATCCACAGGCGATGCACATACCTATAGGGTAACGTTTACATTTATTAGTTCTAATCTTGCACACCTAATTAACATAATTGTAATATTATGATATGATTTTCATCAGACAAACCAAAACGATTTGTAATTACAAAATTGTTCTATACTATATATATATATAACTGTTTGTTTCTATATTACACACATATTGAACTATATTGACAATTTACTATCGTGACATGTCGTACGCATTACACAACAAATTGTTTTTAAAGAGCGGTCCACTCCAATATACAACAAAGGTTGGCAAACTGGGGTTACATCAGACAAGCGTGATCAAGAACATATCGGCCGACAGTGCATTTTGTGCGCCATGTTCAACCCCATCAATGACAACAATTACAAGAATCTTGCAGCTTTGCTCCTATTCGAAACTAATCAATAATTAATACCAAAGTTTTTCCTCCACCAATCAAAACTCCCACCTTCTAACTTTTGTTTTCCAGCTTTCACTTCCTCAATTCTTTCCTCTGAAATAGAATATAAATTATTTACAGATGGGAGCAAAAAAGAATAGGTCATATATATAGGCAACTTATTTGTAATTAGTCTTGTAGTTTTTGTTACATGCTGTAGTTTATTTAGATTTTTATACTCATTTTTTGAAAATACCACTATAATTTTTACCTAGGGCTTGGCATTGTCAAAAACGATGTCAATGCTGTTTTGGATTTTTGAACATGACTGTTTGTACAGTATGTTTAAGTTTATTAAGACACTTATTAAAACATTTTTGTTTTTTGAAATTTTGTGGGTTTCACTCCAAAGATATCCAATCCAGGTTCTATATTGTTAAAGGGCCCCCTGTCGAAGAGAGCTGGTCCATCTGTAAGTGAAAAAACACAATTCATCGGGGAAAAAACAAATATATGTGTTTTTTACAGATTTGCAGACTCTACAATCAATAAAATAAGCCTTTGAAACCCTTAACTCATCTGCTTCAAACACCCCCCCCCCCCCAACCACCTTG